TGTGTGTGTGTGTGTGTGTGTGTGTGTGTGTGTGTGTTTGATACAGGGTCTTGCTATGTAGCCCAGGCTTGCCTCAAACTCATGATGGCATTCCTCCTGCTTCAGCCTCCTGAGTGCTGAGATTGCAGTTGTGCGCCACCACGCCTGGCTGGAAAAGTAGTTTCATTTTAGCATTTCTCACCTTTTAGTCCTTTAGGAGACCTGCAGATTTTGTTCTTTAGGAGATTTTGTTCTTTCAATTTCTATATAGTTATGTAGCTCCACTTATATGAATAACTGCTGTCTAAGACCATACCACCCTGAATACTCCCGATCTCATCCTAATAACTCCTGCATTAGTAAAACTTCACTGTTACGTTTTTCTGACCATCTGAAGTTAAATACCACCAATGCATTTTAAGTTCTCAGGTGCACATCCAACAAATTTAAACTGCAGCATATAACCATTTGAGTATGAATGAGTTTTTGCCAGAACAAATGTCACTGTCACTAGCAACTGTAATTACTGTGCTTGGAATTCAATGTGTCCATCCATATTGAGAAGTAATAATTTTGCTTCACAAAACAACATAAAAGGCAGAACACTGGCTCACATCAAATATAATAGTCTGTGGAAAGATTCTATTTCTCTAATTTAAAATAAAGGGTAGCTTCTACAGAAAGGTATTATAAGCTTTTTAAATAAATCTTCCCTTATTTTAAAGAGATTAATCTTCACTAAGGACAGCCTATGAATACAACAAAAGGAAGTACATAATATAGCAGACAAGACTACCTAGAATTTAAAATGTAAAGTGAAGAAATTAGATCTGAAGTGCCCTCAACATACCCATAGTAACTGTGAGAGTACATGTGTAGACTTAACTGTGATTGTGACTACTAATCTTGATTTGTCAACTTCGTTGGATTAAGAAACACCTAGATTAGTGAAGCACTCACACCTGTGTGTGTCTGCATAGGTTATAGAAGGGCTCAGGTTCCATAAATGGTTCCCAGCTTATTTCTCTCTAGTACTGTTCTGCTCTGCTTCCTGGCTGCCATGAACCAAGTAGCTTTGTTCCTCCATGTCCTGCTTACCAGGGACTGAGTTCCTTAAAATGTGAGCCAAATTAAACTTTTCCTTCATATTTTGAGTTTTGGGTACTGAGTCCAGCAACAAGAAAGTTGATTAATACAGAAAACCCACATCAGAGATGTAGGGCCTTTGTTGCAACTGCACCTGACCACAATGTGTAGAAGCTTTTGGAACTGGTTTGTGTAAGAATTTTGGAAAGATTTAGGGATGCAGGCTAGTGCAGCCTTAAAATGCAATAAGCACTGTCTGATGGTTAATCCCCGTCAAAACTCTAAAGCCAAAAATAATGACAGGAATGTGGTCACTGAAGGGCAGGATCAGGATGTTTGAGTTGGGAATGAGAAGTTATTAGCGACTGCACTAGAGGTCATGTGTGCTACATACACTCTGAAAGAAAATGTTACCATCCTGGGACTTTGTGAGAAACAAAGATTAGGGTAGTGAACTAATCTGGTACAGAAAATTCCAAGACAGCCCAACATCCAGGCTATGGCATAGTACTGCTGGTAGCTGTGGGCCAGATTTACCATTAGAAGTGGAGGCAGAAAGGAAAAGCAAAACATTTTGAAAGCCTTAAGCCAAATACTTTGCACAGGGCCAAAGGGAAAGATGCCTGGGGCCAGGGATTTAGCTCAGTAGTTCCACTGCCCAAGCACAAGCACAAGGTCCGAGTTCAGTCCCCGAACCAAAAAAAAAGAAGAGAAAGATGCCTGTATTGTCACTGAGAAGAACCAAAGACTAACTCTACCCGTACAGCAAATTCTACTACTTTGCTTGAAGGGATCACTTTTATATCACAAGTCTGCTTCAAATTTAGGTTTAACAATTATTAAGACAATTTAAAAAAAAATCAGACACTTTAAAGAACCATGGTCCTAAACATAGAAATCAGAAATGTTTAGCAAAAAGTGGTCAAAACTGTCCATATTTTAACTTAGAACTCAGAACTACAGGGAATAAATCCATACCATCAAATTTATACTGAGAACTCAGAGCTTCCTATCACTGGATCTTGTTTACATTTACTGCCCAGAACAAATACCAGTTTCTCCCTGACTGGCCTTCATTCTAATTTGAGCAGATGAAAATCACTGTCAGGGAATAGGAGTGTGGCTCAATGGCAGATGACATGTTCAGCATGCTCAAAGCCCTGTGTTTAATTCACACCCAAAACAAAATTTACTACATCCTACATAGGCTTGCTAAACAAGTACTATAAAGGCTTACCAGATTCCTAAATGAGATAAAGTATTCCTAGCCCGACATTTTATTTTATTCACAATTTCCTACTTACAAAGTCTTGACGTATATCATTGAAGTCTTTGCCGTATTTTTCCAGTGCCTCTTCAAATAAGCTAGCTTCAGAGGCTGACCATTCTTCCATTTCATCTCTGCATAAAACAGGTCCTCCAAGTGGTACTAAGACACTAATTGCACTGCTCAAGTCATAGCCATGTCTGTACAATGTATCCATAGCATGAAACTAGAGAAACAAAATGGGCAGGAAATGTCAACTAGATATGCGTATTTGCTCATTATTTAGGATAGAAAACATTAAATGCATAATAAAATAACAAGCAGTACTCTTTAAATTAAAAAAGAATAGATTACAAAATAAGTACTTAAAATTTCATTTGTTGCTTTAAAAAAATGTTGACTTGTTCCAGGTATGGTGGTGCATGCCTGTACTTCAGTTACTTAGAAGAAGATCAAGGTCAGCCTGAGCAACTTAAGACTGTGTCTCAAAACCAGGCTAAAAACAAAAACAAAAATCCAGGCTAGGAATATAGCTCAGAGGCAGCATGTTTGGACAGCACAGACACAACCCTGTATTTAGTCCTCAGGAATGGTAAAAGGGGTCGGGGGTGGAACCTGAAAATGCTGAATTGTCAAAGAGTGAAAAAAATTCTAGGGTTAGAATAAGAGAAAAATTAAAAGAGATGGAAGGAAACCAATGGACAGAAATATGATACTTAAGGCAAAACAAAAAATTATGACTGAGATTTTGGAAAACGAAGAAATGATGACCAGGTCTGCTTACAACAGATAAGCCGGTGTGTTTCCTATACATTTCAACTAAAAGTGACTTGAAGAAAGACACACTGGTACATATCATCACCTGTTGCTTACGATCTCAGCTTTTTATTATTTCCCCTTTTCTTTATGCAAAAGCACCTCAGGTCTAGCTTACTTAAAAAGCATTTTCCAGCCCAGCGTGGTGGTGCATGCCTATAATCCCAGCACTCAGGAGGCTGAGGTAGGAGGATTGTTTTAAATTCAAACCAGCTTGGGCTACATAGTGAATTCCAGGTCAGTCTCAACTACATAGTGAGACTCTGTCTCAAAAAAACAAACAAACAAACAAAAAAACCCAAAAAAAGGCATTTTTCTCCACTCAGAACAATGAATAAAGTAGGTTATAAAACCAAGTTTTAAAAACCTTGCATGGTTTTTCTATTGCAGAGAGAGATTCATTCATAACACGTACATACACCTCATACAGCAGGAAAACCACAAAACAGGAGAGTCAGCTGTGTACACACAGGTTTGCAGACTGAGTGGCAAGGCAAGTCAATCCTTGCCCAAGTGAGAACTAGTTGTTCCCATTCCTTCCCACCCAGACTTTCTAACACATGAACACTGAGACTTCCATCTTTGACACAAAGTACCTTCTACTATTTATTAATAACTTCACAGATGGAGATGGCTTCGTTTCTACACAAAATATTGTTTCTTGAAATTAAATTACTATTTAAGTGATTCCTGACTATGTAGCAAGGAACTGTGGAAAGTTCCTTACGTGTATAAAAGAACATACAATAAATTCTAATATGAACTAATACACATAAAGAGAAAAGTTATTAGCCAAGTGTGCACTAAGAGTATATACTTACATTGGATAAGAGCAGTGTGTGTGAATCTATTGATAGAGCTAGTGCAGTATTTAGAATATGGACACAAGTTTGTTTTAGGTACCAGGGATTGAACTCAGGCCCTTGAGCTTGTGAGGCAGGCGCAGTGCCACTGAGCTAAATCCCCAGCCCTGGACACAAGTTTAGAAACAATAACTAAACTGCTTTAACAAGGGTTGACATTTCACTTAAATCATGTTTCTACTAATCAAAAGCAAAGCAAAAAAAAAGCAGAGATTTTGTTATAAATCTCCTAGTTAAAATGACCAAGCCCACTGATGATATAGTCTTGCTGTATGTGTCACAATCATGGGAACAGTAACTTCTAAGTAATTTTTCTTCCCTCCCTTCTTCTTTCATTGGGTGTTGAGGGTTGGGATTTGAGTCAGGGTCTTCCTATGCTGGCCTGGAATGCACTATGTATTGCCCAGGCCGGCCTTGAACTCACTGCAATCCTGCCTCAGCCTCCTGAGTGCTGGTATTACAGTTGTGTACTATCACATTCAGCTTCTAACCTTCTGCAGTGGGGGCTGCAAAAATGCCAGTCAAGAACTGACCTTGATCCCTTTTTTGTACTCTGCAAATTTTAATATCAACAGGTGTTTGCTTCTCTAGCTAAACTCATTAAGCAGACTGCAATTTAGCTTCAGCACAGTATTTACTTTCATATACTTTTACAACATCTCTGAAACTAGTTTCTGAATAACTGATCGATGAAAATGAAAAGATCAATACCATTTAGAGATCTCTACAATTAACAATAACCTCACAAGTCATTATTTTATAACTTCCTCAATTTTTTTTCCTTGGTATCGAGAATCAAACTTGGGACCTTGCACTTGCCAGGCAGGCAACAGTGCCCTGAGCTACATCCCCCACCCTCTAAATTTATAACTGATTAACATGCCTAAAAGATTAAACTGGGCATGGCGGTACACTCCTATAATCCCAGCACTTGGGAAGCTAAGGCAGGAAGATTGCCAGGAGTTCAAGTATGAGGCCAGCATCATTCACATAGCAGGACCTTGTCTCAAAAAAAATCCTAAAACATGAAAAAACAAGCAAACAAACAAAACTAAAAGATAAAATGATTTTTCAAAATTTAATAATTATACAAATCAACTGATAATGAAATTTCTCAAGAGATAAAATTTTTAGAATTAACAGGGGCTCTGAAACCAAAAGACACATAATTAAATGCATTTGTCTCAGCTAATATTACATCAACCACTCAAAACCTCTCAAGCCTACATTTAAACCACAGCCCAGAGGAGAGTGCAGAATTATTTCATATGGTAGAAAGAAAACACCTCACCAGGCTTGTACACTGGGGGCTTCCTACAGCAGAATTCTTTTGAAATCAATGATAACTTTCACCAAGAAAACCAGAGGATCACCTTATTTGAAGTCCAAATAATCCCGTCTTTTTGACACACAGATGTCTCTTTTAAAAAGATTCTTACACAGTTTAACTCTACCCTTTTTTTAAAGCTCTAAGTAAAATCTGAATATAATTTCTACCACAGAAGAGACAATATCCAATAAAGTAAAATGAAGGACATAAACTATGAAAGAACATAGTAGTTTGACATGTAACAGACAATTCACCGTTCATCACTAAGATAATGAAAATTTGAAGAACCAGCCAAGTTTAAAACAGGAACTAAACAACAGTGAGTAGAGTCAGGATACTGGCTGGCAAGGGACATGAGGGAAAACTTTTGAGATACTGATATACTTTATCTAAATCTGGTGGTTATACAGATGTATGCACATGTAAAATTTACAAAATGTACAACAAAGTGCAGGACATCTTTCTCTCTCACACACACACACACACTCGCAATTTATCAAATTAAAATCAGAAAAAAAATGTAATAAGCATAAAGTCTGTAAAGTCTTCCCTCTAGATACCTTGCAAAAATACCACTTTCCAATAGATAGACACATTGCAAGATTCATTCAAATCTAAATTTTAAAACTCATCACCCAGCACAAGTTGTTCTCTCTGCCAATAAGTGGTGAAAGTGTTGTCACATTTCATCTCATTCATAACAGATGGAGATGACAAACAGAATTATTTTAGGAGAAAGACTGACAAGGAAATCTTGGCAGTGGAATTCTCATCTTTTGTTCATTAAGCAGAATACTATGGTAAATTTGATTGTTGTTCAGCAAACATTCTTTCCCCGAACCTCCCAAAGAAGCTATCCACTCACTGTGCTGATGCTGAGCTTGACTTGGTTGCCCAGGACAATGTTAAGATATGTGACCCTGACAGACTGGACCTGTGTTTGTGCATCTGGTCATGCCCACACAGTGAGACCCTGCCTCAAAAACAAACAAATAATTTGTGTATATAGTGTCAAAGTTTATGGGAAGCCATTATGTATTTTGGACAGACCTCTGCCCTACACCCCAACAGGCCAGAACAAACCAGAATGGAGTCACTTCTGTTAAATGCCATTAATCAAACTGACCAGGTGAGTCAGTCACCAAGCAGAAGTGACCCAGTTTACCTGAGCAGTTAAGGAAACCCCTTCTTCTTTCATCCTATAAGGAATGTTACTTTTGAGACTTCTGTAAGTTTCTTATTCCCTACTGCTTCAGCCCTTTTCTGTCCAGCCTTTCACTCAAATTATACGAATAATCACTCTATTTTCTAAAATGAGGTGATGCTATTTCCAGAAAAGTAAAGCTAATTCCATCATTACTTTCAATTTGTTGTAATTTTGTCCGTTTTTGCTTCTTCGCCATAGATACAAAAGAATGATGAAACAAACAGTAAAATGGTAACAATTGGGCAATTTTGTTGAAGAGAACAGGTTTTTTTTTTTTTTTTACTATTTTTGTATTGTATCAAAATACAAAGACAGTAAGTTTTAAGAAATTATAACCACATGCTATCATTGCCTCACATTTATAAATCCCAATCTCTTCAGCAATAGCCTTAGACAAAGCTGTTAAAATTTTTTTTCATTGTATTTCCTTAAGTTCAAATCTATAGCAATTGTCTGAGGTTCTCTGTTATTAGTGTAGAATTCACAAGAGAAAAAAGTGGAAAGGACAGTATTTATCCCTGCTCAAAAAACATTCATTTACACTTAAATTTAAGAAAAAGATGGACAGACAATTCTCCTAGGGCAGTATGCAGTGCCTCCATACTCATCTGTAACAGACCCCCCGCCCCAAAAAGCATGGCTCTTGGAGAATATTGTTACTTTAATGATTTATTTTAAAGGAAGAAAAATTTGTTTTCTATTTCTTGCTGAAATGATGGTCTATCTGAAGTGATAGACCATTAATACTAATTCTAAATTCACATGTTAGAAATACCAGTAACACTCAAGTAACAGAATGACTTTTCTAAACTTATAGAAATTCTCCTTTTATCAAATTTATATTCATTCTGAAGTCTAGATTTCATATACTGATATCTGAACTATTAATCAAAAGATTTATACATTCTTCACACCTTCTAACCTATCCTGAAATCTGATGTGATGGCACATGCCTGCAATCCCAGCTCTAGGAAGGATTGACCAGCCTGGACTACACAGTGTGATCCTGT